GAGAGAGACAGCAGACGACAAGCACCGATGCCCGCCAAACACAACATGGGAAGAAACAAAGAGAGAGAGAGAGAGAGAGAGAGAGAGAGAGAGAGAGAGAGAGAGAGAGAGAGAGAGAGAGAGAGAGACATGAAAGAAAAATAAGACGCCATCAGCGAGTGTTGCTGTGCGCCATGGCGTAGCCGTGGCGGGTTCCACTTGTAGAAATAAAGTACATATTCGATATACTTCTCCTCTCTGAGCATCTTGACCGCCTGTTCTCTCTGAATCTGCTTATGCGTCACCATATCCCGACACGCTTCTTCAATCCATTCCCCTTCTTTATTCCTTTTTGAAACCTCACCCCTTTTCATGATTTCTCTGATACCCTGTAGCTTAGAATATGGTTACGGACTTCACCAGGATAAGGGGGCTGAGTACTGTCCCTGGCGAGATCTGGTAATAGGTGGCAACTGCGTACTAGGGCGAAGTTATCTCAACAATAACCCGTTCTCAAAAGGTATTAGTCACGCTCGAAACAGGAGTGCATATGTGTCCCCTCGTGCATTGCTCCGCCAGGAATACTGTATGTTCAGGCTATGAGGGACTGTGGTTTCGAGACTTTGCTCAAACCCGTGTCTTGGTTCTTTCGGTGCAGGGTAGTACAGTCCACAGTTCTTTGTTTTAGGCAGTACACATACAGACCCATCGCCCCAATCGCACCAACCTCGACAGCATGACTCGTCCACACCCCCCCCCTTTTCTGTTATAGGATTTGCTTAAAAGAAAAAAAAAAACACTTCCCACAGCTGGAGGGCACCCGAGCTGATCAGGTCCCAGTCCATCAAGCTGAGAAGGCTGGCAGAAACTTCACAGGTTCCGGCCTCTGATTAACGACATGCAATCGCAGTTTGCTCCCTGACCAGGGGACTGGCCTGATCACAAGCGTGTCCAGGTAGGTCCTCAGTTAGAACCCCTCACGGGATCATTAGTTTCCCTGAGTACTCAGACAATCTGCTGTGGTTCTTACGCTTCTTTCATGAGCTGGCAGCCCTGACCAAAATTAGAGCCCTGGGATTACAGGTTGTGCTTTAGGCATACGTAGACTCGCATACACATCATTTTGCTTTCCACTGTCAGAGTAATCAAGCTGATACAAAGAACTGCCTCCTGCACGACCCAGTCAGATCTTGACTCTCAGGTCATGACTAACTGATCAAAGAGGAGTCGTCAGGGTTTCTACTTCAGTTAGGCTGAGATTGTTAATACTAGTCCCCATCCAGTAAGAACTTAGCGATTAAATACACAATCCTCTTTAATTGTCGTTTCCTTCCCTTACAACTCATCACTCAGGCTCAGCACTCGCGAGGGGCTGATCTCATGCTCGGGCAAGTCACACGGATAATCGCACAGACCACGTGGTTGTTCGAGTGTCCGTGGAAAGAATCGCACGCCTGTTTGATCTTACAGGTTCTGTCACTGGCGTTAAGCCCGTTAAAGAGGGTTAAGCCCGTTAAAGAGGGTAAGTTGAGACTGTTTACTCGCTTGACTCCAAACCTCCCTTTTCAGTTGAACCCGTGCATAGGAACGTGAAACACCGACCCAGCTCCTGTATCATGCAGCTAGGACCGAGAACATTTACCGAGCCTGTGTTGTCACCCCTCTCATTCCTTCATCGATAACAGCAGAGCTGCCACATTTGGGCAACGGCAAAACTTTAGATAATAATAATAATTACAATCGAATAGAGAATTTCTCTCAGACATCCTGGTGACGTCATTTCTTTCGACACGCACTCCCCCTTCCCACAAAGCTTAAAATCACACTAAAGTCATATTATTTATACTGACGGAAACAGACAATGTCAAGCATTTTGCTCGAAAACCCAGCCATCTTACCTCCACAGAATTCTGATTATACCGAACATCAAATGCCTGTTTGTCTTCCCGATTCACTTGCAATTCATCAACAAGTCTGAATTGTCACCGTGTCTAGTATATCTCGCGGAAAAAAAGCAGGTTCTCCCCAGACTAGCAACATACACATCTGCCAGGCCCCTCTTTTCTCATTTTTGTCCTGGTAATCGAGACCGCACGACATGGCATGAAATTGGATGTAACTGTTCGCGCCACCCATATAAGCTTCCTCGCCCAAGCTTCGTACAGATAGCCCTCAACAGGGGAACACAGGGTACCTTACAAGAGCACTAGAATAGTTTCCGCAGGGCTCCTATGCAGACCTCACTCCTCTCTCTCGAGCACACTGTATGCTCACACACATTCCGCTGGTCCCATACGGGTCACACAAACGCGCACACTCCTAGTCATTACGTCAACTTATTAAAAGAGAATACGGTGATGACAACTTCTCTACGCACTAGCAGACCCACTCTATGGCGAAAACAAGTCAAAAGATTATCACCAGGGCTGTACATATGCAACTGCTGACCAGCACTCATCAAGCCTCTTTGAGATCAATTTCTCTTGATTAGTAACAAGTGCCTCTTGGCAACAACTGCTTGGTAGACTCTAACATGCCCCTTAGATCATTCACATAGACTTGACGTAGAGTTCCCACCTCTTGGTGTCACTATTCCAGAGACGGAGAGACACGTATCGCGCGGCTATACAAAATGCCTTTCACACTGATCTGGCTCGAAGTACGCAAGATGAGCATACTAGCCCCTTCCTCTACCGTTCACTCAAGAGAGCTATGCCGTTAGGCACAAACTCCGGAAACGCGTGCGTCTCCACTACGGCAGGGGCGGAAATGAGACGGTCCTCAGGCTCATGACGGAAGTCTCGGACGGAGGACGTTTGTCTCTCTGAAAGTTGTGCCTCCCTTTCTCTCTGGGTGCTCCTCTCAATAATCTCGGACACAACCGGAGCAGCGGGCAGATCGTTCAGCCGCCCCCAGACCGCATCCGACGTAGGCGTTTCTCATCACTCACTAACTCTCCTCCAAAGACTCGTCCACACTCATTGACCCCTGAGTCTCTCTTTCTTCTCACGCCCCGATCGCGACTGCCACAACATTCCTTATCTGTTACTGCTCGCCCTCTCATGCACTGCCGCAATCCACCTCTTATCCGCATGTGCGCACTCTCTTCTACCTCTCGCTCACGGAAGTCAATGATGATGTCAGCGTCCCCCAACATGCCGGATCAGCTCTCGCCTCTCTTCTTGATCAGCCACGCGCGTCCTCCCCTTCTCTTACACCCGCCTTAACTTCTAGTCCTCTGCCACAACATCAAGGCTCACTGCGGCTCTGCGGACACAAGACGCCACGAGGGAGCATGGAGGCAGCCGTGCCAGCGGGCTTGATGGCAACGGTTGACATCCCCACTCTCTCAAGAGTCGCCCCATGTGTTGACCTCTTCTCGCTTCCCTGGGCTGCCACACGTTGCGCGTGTACCACACGTCTGTTTTTCTCACACACCCTTTCCTGTCCCTCGTCCTCTGGGACTCCACTGCTGCAAGCTGGCCTCAGGCCCGCCTTCCACAGGCCGTGCCAGCGGATGGTTCTTGCGGACCTGGCCTGGTCTGTTCCAGGACTGAAGGTCCGTCTCCCGATCTCCCCCCTCGCTCATTTCGCTCTCCCCACCTCAGTCCCGGTCCAAATGGGCTTGTTCCCTGTCCGCTATGTCCATTGAGGTCTCGGTCTCATGATACGAGACCGTTACCTGCATTTTCGCTGTCACTCCGTCCCTCCTGCAGCGCCTCTCCGCACGATCCTTTGCCTCCGTGATCATGTCCTGCAGTTTCGAGTTAGTCCGCATCTCCACCTCCTTAGCTCCTTCCACGTTGATCTTCAGCCTCAGTTCGTCCCCTCCATCGTAAAGCATTACTGTGATCCAGGGCCCTTCCCCAGACAGGGGTTTCCACCGAGGCTGGTGGTACCAGTAGCCGGGCCTAAAGCCGTGCAGCGCCATAGTCACTCTCGGAATAGATAGAGCCCGCTCGCACACAAATAGCTCGCCTCAAGGTACCACTCCGTTCTGCCCTCCTCCCTCAGACCACTAGCGTCAGCAGGACAAGGCAGTCTGAGCACCTCTATCGGCCAGCAGCACGACTTTTTCTCAGCCTTTATGGAATCACTATGTATCGAAGTCCCTGCGCTCTAAACTAGGTACCTAATCCGCCTCCCAGACTCTGCTTTCTAGTGATAAATTCTCGTGACTAAGAGATAACTAAAACAAATAAATAAATAAATAAACAAGAAAACCCGAAGACCCCCAATCTCAAACGGTCACGGTGCGGGCAGACCCTGCTACCAATTCCCAGTCCTCTCGTCCTGTCATGTCATGACCGTAAGCTCAGTGTGGTGGTCCCATAACGGAATACCAATGTGCGTTTTCTTTCTTTCAAAACTCGTTGTCGGTCTGTTGCCGTTTGGTACCCGCGTCCGATGGCAAGGAGGGGGCTTATGACCCTCCACGGGGGGGGTGATAGGCTCCCGACCAATGCGGCCGCGGGTCGCCCCTCTTTTGAGGTTTTCTCCACGCGACGCTCGGCCAGGCAGGTCTGGCATAGGCGGTTTACGAGGGGTCAGCCAGCCTAGGCCGTCAGAGTAATCACAGCTCAAAATCGAACCGTCAGCCTCCCCTCCGAAGTGACATAGGCCGAAAGGAAAAGTCGCATCTGGGAAATCAAAGATACTAATAACAAAAATAATAATAATAATAATAATAATAGTAATAGGGAAAAGAAACTTCACGATACGGTGACCAGCTATCGCTGGATTACTCCAGTTTAAAAACAGAGACCCTGATCCGCGCGCCCATTCTGGCACACAATTCTCTTTTCACTTTTACATTCTGTTTTCTTTAGTTTTCTTTTATTCAGCCCATTTCCCTATTGACAGCTGCCTATTTTATGTACCTATCCCATAACCTGACTAGGCCGTGATCGGCGCGCAGTAGAAATGACAGCGTCGGTCTTTTCAACTCCGCGTCCCAGGGCGAACCCATCGGCTACCACGGGCGCAGGCTGGTTGTGCTCTGTTGTACAGCAGGGCGCCGAGCCTGCGTGGACCAAAGGAAAGTCTTGTGGCGCACCCCTCTTTTTGCTGAGGCAGGCATCAACAGGACTAGCCCACACCGGACACAGACCGGGTACTAGGGGTTGTAGAGGCTCAAGGACTTACCTACGGGCAACAACATCGGAGTAAGAGGCTGACACCCGACAGGGACTTGGTACGCAGAGGAGGGTCGGGACACCGCGCCCTCCGACACCGGCCCCCTTGGCCCTAGCCTCTACCTCCTTGCGGCCTCCCTTCGGCCGCGACAACAGCGGAAGTCCTTCCCTGGCTAGCGCCACTGTCTTCGTCCTCTGGTCCCCACTCAATCTGCTCGTAGGGGACTTCGTCGACACTACCTTCATCCAACGTAAGGATCAAACGATCCTTGGTCTTAACCTGTCCGGAGATAGTGCGACCCTTCCACTTTTTCCCCTTGTCCGGGTCCTTATGCCAAAAAGTGGAGACTGACATGGACCTTGCTTCAAACGCCACCACTCCCCTGCTCAATGCGTCATAGGTCATGGTGGGCTGCTGGCTCTTCTCGAAGAAGTGCCCGCGCAACGACTCGGGCATAGCCCGGTAGAAGAGGTTGACCAATTGGGTCTCTGTGACCCCGTGGTCAGGGACTGCAACTAACTCATCCATAACGCCCTTGAGTGCCTTGGCACTCTTCCACTGATGAGAGTGGATGGTTTGTAGCCTGTCGGAGGCTTTGACGCTGCGCGAAACATCTGCAAATCGTTCGCACAATAGTTTAAGGAAATCAGCGAGGGGGGTAAACGCAGAAAAAGCGACTAGATCATCATTGCAATTAGCAGCGCGAACCAGGGAGCGGGCGAAACTGGTGGCTTCTTCCTTCAGGGCATGTATAGCTATTAAAACATACCAAATAAAAATTGTTCTTCGTGGACTCGTGCCAGGCGCTCTATGTTCCTCGCCATAATTTCCACCTTCCCTAATAAATCCACCTGCGTCGCCATTTGGTCTCTCTGCTTTTTTATCTCCTCCAACTCTTTCGTCGCCTGGCTCGCCGCCTCCATCCTTCTTTTCCTTTCCCTTGTTAGACGAAACTTCCACTCCATCCTTTTCTCCTCCGTGTGCCGAGCTCCGCGGCGATGGGCGCTGCTTCCTCTTGGACCGCACAACCAACTTCAGCGCAGGTACGTTAACCCAATCTTGTATCGCTCAGCCCTCTCTCTCTCTCTCTCTCTCTCTCTCTCTCTCTCTCTCTCTCTCTCTCTCTCTCTCTCTCTCTCTCT